TATTTAAACATAAAAACAGCATTTTAGGAACAGCTAAAGGTGACAGATACTTTATTATGGTACAGTATTTAAATAAATGCCTGAGAAACGCATAATATTGGCCCTTTAAAATATAGTGCTTTGGTAGATGATCGTRATCATACTCTGAACACTAAAAGGTGACACTAGATTTTAAAACAGTGTCATTAACTCAGCTCTGCTGTCTATCTATTAAAATGTCTCATGATTCACATACTTGGACACTGTGAGGCCCTGTTCCAAAGAAATGCAGCTTGTATTTCTGTTCCTTGTACTCTATGAATTAAAAGTAGGTCATGTGGTACACTGTTGTACATTATTGGCTACTTTTAGTTTTACTTCCTGACATTTGCATTAAGKGTTGACTGATATTCTGTAGGACCCACTGTTTTCTTACACAATAACCCAAAAGCACAGTAATTGATTGTTTTATTTGCCAAGTTAACTACGGTAATCAAATTCTGATTGTTTCCTCCAGAACTGCTCGTTTTGTGTTCTACACTTCATTGTCAGTGGTATTTAAAGGGCTAGTGACATCAAAATTTTTTGTAATAAACATAAATGCATTTTTGGAAAGCTAACATTGATAACATATAGCAAAAATAAACTCACGCTGCTYAGATGAACAATTGTTGAGATATTTGCATGTGAAGTAACAGGAAGTAATTTCGAAGGGGAATCTGGATGCGAACAGATTAACAAAATCCGGCAACACGGACTGTAAAAACAATCTGACTCTGTCTCTCTCTAATAGTGACTCAAAATAATCTAAAGAAACATCAGAGTTCAAATAAAATTGTTTCAATAAACAAAGATCAAAGTGTTTTTTCTTAGAGTTCCCTTTGATGTCACTTCCTGTTTCCCTTTGGCTGAGCCAAATTCCAAAGACAATTTGCCAGTTATGTGACAAAAATGGATAAAATCATGTGTATTATCTTGTTTCTTCAATATCAAGATGTTTTCTTTGACTTGTTGTATTTGAAGGATACACACATCACAGTCACTTTAAGGACATTGCAGAAGGAATTTGTATATGAGGTGTGCTTTGATGTTTTCTCTTGGTTTTTCTGAATAGTTTTGTTCTCATAAGTCAATTGTGTGGCTGTTTGGTGGTAAAACAACTAAAGACTTTATGCAGTTATTTTTAGTATTAAGGCCAAGTTACTTATTGAGCTTTATTTGAGGTTTGTCACAAGTTTTATATTTGCTCCACATAACCTGTAAGGTCATAAGATTATAAACCTGTGAGAATTTACCTATATTATGGACCTTGAGACCTTGCATAATTGATTTGGGGTCCATTGTGTCACACACATTGGGCCACAAAATCTAATAATGTCCAAATGATGAAGGTTTAGAAGTGAAGACATGTTAAAAAAAATCTAACATAAATGGAATAACTCAAGCTRTGGGGTGGTGTTTGGACACTGAGATTTCCTGTCATGCTTTTGTCATCAGGTGATTCAGGGAGAACCGGGAACCCAGGCAAACCTGGTGTAAAGGGCCGTGAGGGTGTTATCGGAAAAGCAGGACCCCGAGGATTGAGGGGGTTGCGTGGACCACCAGGAGTGGCTGGAAAACAGGGACAAAAGGGAGAGTTTGGTGAGAGGGGCCAGCGAGGAGCCCCCGGAGGCTGCAACTGTGGCAGAGCAGCTCGATCAGCCTTCTCTGTGGCCGTGACCCAGAGTTACCCCAAAGAGAGGATGCCCATCCTCTTCAACCGGATCCTGCTGAACGAGGGGGACCACTACAACGCCAGCACTGGGAAGTTTGTCTGTGAGATCCCAGGGGTCTACTACTTCACCTACGACATCACACTGGCCAATAAGCACCTGGCCATCGGGCTGGTGCACAACGGACAGTACAAGATTAAGACATTTGACGCCAATACGGGGAACCATGATGTGGCTTCTGGTTCTACTGTTCTCCAGCTGAAGGAGTCAGATCAGGTCTGGCTGCAGATCTTCTACTCGGAGCAGAACGGACTCTTCTTTGACCCGTTCTGGACAGACAGCACCTTTACAGGCTTCCTCATTTATGCCAACCAGGAGTTTCTCAATGAGGCAGAACAAAAGGCAAATAGTCAGTCTGACAGTTAATACTGTAAACCGGAAATATCACATTGTTTTTTTTTTTATCTGTATTTCACATCAGAATGAGATGTCACAAATGTGTCTTCAGTTGATAAACAAGTTTCGACACCAGGGGGCGCACAAGTAAAAAAACAAAAAAAACAAAGGAAAAAGTTTTCTTGAGCTCTAAGTTCTTAAAAACGTTGACTGAAAAAGTGGTTCCATTGATTACATTTTCTTTACAAAAGACAGAAAAATTTCATTTTTCAATTATTTTAAAAACCTGAACTAAAACTGATTCACTATAAAGTAAATGAATACATGCATTAAAAATAAGTATATAAAGACTTCTTTCTTTCTTTTTGGGGGTGGGAGGTGGGGTTATCTTCATCATAATTTATTTTTATGTTTTCTTGACTGGAATGCAATTATTGTTTGGTCAAAAATTATTACAGCTAAAAAACAGGCTCTCAGTTTTAAATATTTTAAGAAACAACTACCAGCATTTTCCCCCAAGATAGTTCAGAAAAGATAAGATAAACACAGGTGCACACTGTAAAATACACCTATTTTTGTTTATTTATAAGGACCTTGTCTTGCACCATAATACAATATAATAT